TTATGTGAGTTACTGTCACTTTCTGGCCCTGGGCAACTTGCTTGAGGCCTGAGAAGTTGAAGCCCTTAGAGATCCAATGGTCTTGGACTCCTTAGTTCAGAGGCTAGGTCTGCCTTCAGTTTTATGCCTTTGTCTCTTCTCTGAGTTGTGTTCCTTTCCCCTATGAATATGGCTCCCCATTTGCCCAATGCAGGTGCTTTGGATCAGCAGGAGCACATACACACTTTTTCTGGTATATGATTCCAGTGAGGTCTCTAAAGCACTAAGTTTAGGTGTGTGGCAACAGAGCAAGCTTGGTCTGGATGTGCAGAGTCCCTGAAACTCTGGGTCCAACAGGGTTCTAAAGTGCCCAGTCCCTGAAATGGGAATTCTAGATGCTGAGACCGGTGCAGAGTCCAGTAGTGTGGTTGCTGGTGCTGGCAAGTACATGGTCCCTAAAGCTCTGGATCAGGCATGCAGAATGAGGACCAGCATGAGGTCCTGAATGCAGTATCCACACACATGGCGTGTTTTCACAGTGACCAGTCACTGGTGCATGGGGGTCCTTGAAGCTATGGGTCTGGACATGCAGCCACTGAGGGTGTATGGGGTTCTGAGTGCTGGGCCAGGCTTGCAGCTACAAGGCATGCTGGGTCTGGACATGGTGAGTCCATGAAACTCCGGTTCCATGCACAGGGAAGGGCACACAGTGTCCAGGTGAGCCAGGTCCTATAACTGTTTCTCACTCACCAGCACAAACACACCACCCATCCACACCTGCCCTTCTTGCTCCTTTACTCTCTCATACACTCTCTCTCACTGCCATCCTGATGACCGCCATTTTGGGATATCCCATAACTTAATTTTCATTACTTTTACAATAATCTTCAAAAAGAAATCAGTTTCTCTGATGGTGCATGAGTTTTTCTCCATTCTTCTTCATCCTATCCAATATACATTACTCTCATTTAAAAACAAATATAGCTTCTTTATTTCCTATAACTAATATTCCTCCAAACTCTGCACTACTGGGCTGAAAAATGTCAGTCTAACCCAGTGACTTACTCATCTTCTGGATGAGTCATTCTTCCAGCTATTTCTTCTCCTTTTATTCTTCAAGATGATATGCATGTGGGTGGAAATTTATGAATCTCTTATGGTGGATGAATTATGGGGACATCCAATCTATGTGGTGTCTTCTGGAACTTTTGTCTCTATGGTAGAATACCAAGACTGAGCTTAAGTGTGATTATTTATGGCCCATGTAGCACAATGCACTGGTAGCTCATATGTTAGAAATGTGATTCTGGCTACTTTTCTCATCTGGGTCTCTACCACTGTCTGGCTCTCTCTGAGAATCTTTAGCTTTCACAAACACTTAGAAAGGTCTGCAAGCTCTGACTTTTAAGACACGAGGAGCCAGTAGCACTGCTTCAGGCCCATGTATCTAGCTGCCTAATTTTGCCAGTACCAATGCCGCAACCACAACTGTTGGATATTTCTATGTGATACTCTGAATGATTCTGCAGAGTCTCCCTGAATGGGAAAACCTAGGATCCTGTTTTCCATCCCTTTCATTCTATTGTCATTGTGGGTCTGGGAATGTGCCTTTCCTCCTTGTCTATCTAGTATAGACTTCCTTTCAAAAATGACATTTGCATTGTGAGCTTCCCTAAATTAATGTAATCATTTTGTCATTCTTTTCCAAGAAATCTTTTCATACCCAGAGTCATAAAATAATCTTGTAATTTCTTCTAAACTTTATGTATGTCCATTTTTACATTTGGATTTTCAATAAGCATAGAGTTGATACATCTGTTTATTATGAGGTAAGAATTTCATTATTTTCAATAAGAAAATGGAGCTATTACAATCATTTCTTGGATAGTTTGTTCTCTATTGGCTTATAATATCACCTTTGTTTTACACCAAGTTTCCATATGTGCATGGATCTGTTTCTAGTGGTCTTTTATGCTTTATTGGTCTTTTTTCACTTAATTTTTTTCTTTTAATAACACAATGTTTTTACTCATAATTGCTTTACAATAAGTTTTAATATGTTAATCTTATACCTACAGCTGCTCTTTAGTTACTCTTGTCACTTTGCTCTCTTCTTGAATTTTAAATTATTTTGTCAAATCCAATGAAAATTTTTGTTGGGATTTAATGAGAATTTTGTTGCACATACTGATGGATTAGGGGGGATTGAACAAAAATCTTCTTCCAATGAGTAGTCAGAGGAAAGAATACACATATGATTTCTTTATAGATACTTATATTAGTCTTATTTATACATGAAGCATTAAAAATTCACTAGAATTTATATGGACATGGGGTTTTCATTGACTTAATCTGCAACAGGATGTACATTTTTAGTTTTCAAATTGAGTTACTTTTATCTGGTTATTTTATTTTTACTATGTAGTTACTAGCGTTACTACTATGTAGTGCACAAGACACATGCACTGGGGGTGGGAGAGTCCCTCAACCCGGCCTGTGACCTCTCGTAGTCTGGGACCCCTCACTCCTTATGGCCCGCCTGCAGTGGAGGTAGAAGAGGCTTCTGCCACTGCTACTGTGTTTGCCAGCCCTGAGCCTGGCTTCTAGCTGAGCAGTGCTTCCTCTTGGGGCAGTTCCTGCATTGAGCATCTACCCCCCCCACCCCACCCCCCCAACCCCCGGTGATGGTCATTTTGCACATTAGGTTTTATTAATACAGGACTAGTGGCCTGGTACATGAAATTTGTGCACATCAAAAGTGAATTAATTAGAGGAAATATTTTAATATTGGTATTTGCCCTTTCTCTATAATAGAAATGTCAGAGATGAAAGAAAATTAGTAAAATGTATGTGAAAATCTCCCTCCTCTCAGAGTCAGAGGTGCGCCGTGGGGCCGAGTCAAGTCCCTGCCCACCACCCACATGTGCTTCAAAAACGCTGGAGATGCCGAAACCGGTGTGGCTCAGTGGATAGAGCATCGGACTGTGGACTGAAAGCTCCCAAGTTCAATTCCGGTCAAGGGCATGTACCTTGGTTGTGGACACATCACCAGTGGGGGGTGTGCAAGAGGCAGCTGATCAATGATTGTCTCTCATCGATGTTCCTAAGTCTCTATCCCTCTCTCTTCCTCTCTGCAAAAAATCAATAATATATAGATAGATAGATAGATAGATAGATAGATAGATAGATAGATAGATAGATATTAAATGCTGAAGACCCAAACCCAGCTGGCCCCAGCCCCAGCAAGCTCCCCTGGGCAGGGGCAGAGCCACAAGTCACCCAGCCCGGCTCCAGACAGAGTTTGGAGATTCAGGGCCCCCAGTCCAGCACTGTGAGGGGGGGCAGCCTCAGGCCCCCTGCCTGGCACTGGGGTAGAGGGCACAGCAAGCCAGGTAAGCCATGCCAGGCAAGCAGTACAGCCTGAGGTTCGCAGGCCCAGTGCCGAGGTGGGGAGTGCAGCCTGAGGTCTCCTGGCCTGGCGCTGGGGCAGGGGACATGGCCGGAGGGACCCGGCCCGGTGCCAGAGTTAGGGTCATGGCCTGAGGCCCCCCACCCTGCACTGGGGCTGGGGACACAGCCTGTGGTTAGTCCCTTGGGGAGGGTGATGTGGCCAGAGGTCCCTCGCCCTGGCCAGGTGCCATGCAGCCTCAGGTTCCTGCTGTTGGGTCTTGACATTACAGTATCCAAGCTAATTGCATATTCCTCTATTATATAGATAGATTGTTTCTTTTCTATATTATTTTCTCTTTCTGGAACTTCTATTGTGCTTGATTGTAGAATTTTTCAAGGTATCATAGACTTTCTGAAATTTTATATTACACCCTCATTTTTTCTTGTGGTTCCTAATTTACTGTTCCTTGACTCTTTCATTTTTACCATTATAGCTTTCTGAAAGACAGTGTTCATGAATATTCTGCTGTATAGGATGTGTATAGGAAAGGGAGGGCTCATGTTGAAGGAAGGACAAGTTACATGGGTCATTGTCATCTTCATATCTTGCCTCTTTGAATTAAGAGTTTATTACAAGCCCTGATGTTTTTCAGTTGTACTACACTTTATCTGGAAATAGAGGAATACTGTATAATAAAGAGGTAATATGCAAATTGACCCTCATGCCCTCGCATAACATGGCTGTCCCAATGTGGTCAAAAATGGCTGGCCGGGGAGGGTAGTTTTGAGCAATCAAGCTAGCAGGAGAGGGCAGTTAGGAGTGACCAGGCCTGGAAGAGAGGGAAATTAAGGGCGATCAGGCCAACAGGAGAGGGCAGTTGGTGGTGATCAAGCTGGCAGGGGAGAAATTAGGCATTGATCAGGCTGGCAGGGGAGTGATTAGGGGATGATCAGGCAGGCAGACAGGTGAGCAGTGGGGAGCCAGCAGTTCCAGATTGTGAGAGGGATGTCCGATGTCATTTGGGATTGGGCCTAAACTGGCCGTCAGACACTCCCCGAGGGGTCCTAGATTGGAGTAGGTGCAGGCTGGGCTGCGGGACACCCCCCTGCTTTAGTCCATGACTTTCGTGCATTGGGCCTCTAGTTAGAAGAATAAAGAATTACTTTCCTTCTTTTAGTGACTTCCTTTTTCCCTTTTCATCAGTACTATATATAAGAAAATCTACTCTTTCTCTTTTGATTGGTAGTCAGTATCCATCTCTAGTGCTGCTGATTATTTTTCCAAGTTTTTTTTTTTTTATTCTTATGGTTATTGCAGTGGGAGTTTAGCATGAGGAGTAAAGTAGAAGAATAAGATCTTGTAGATCTGCTTTTTTTCTTGACATTTTTATTTTTTATTTTTATTTCAGTTATTGGCATAGTTGCAATAATTTCTTTTTTTTAGGTTTTGAAGAGGGGGATGAAATCAATGTTATTACATATGCCATTATTTTCTTAGATGAGCTACATACTAAGGGTATCAACATATAGATAATCCACAGTGGCAAAATTTAGGGTATCAACTTTCTTTTTTCTTTACTGTTTTAATCACAGAGCTTTCATCTATGGTAAATATCTCGTTTTTATTTCAGAAATTGGTCTTAAGTGGGATAACCTTTGGACACCGGCCAACCTTGAGGATAATCTCACACTTGGCTCTGTGATGACAATGCTTTTACTTGATGCTTTCTTGTATGGCCTTGTAACATGGTATATAGAAGCTGTCTTTCCAGGAATGTATGGTGTGTCCCAACCATGGAATTTTTTTCTTATGGTGAGTTCTAATGTTTCTGTTATTGTTAAAGGTCTTAGTTCTTATTTTACAAAATCAAATCAAAAGCTCAGGTGCAGAATCATTTTCATCTGTATACCAGCTATACTGAAATGCTAGCCATTTCATAATTTACCTTAAAGCCTTGCACATATACAAATGCACCTATTTATAGATAAGACACTGACATCCCAAATGTTAAAAATGATTAGTACTAGCCTAGCTAGTTTAGCTCAGTGGATGGAGCATAGGCCTGAGAACTAAAGGGTCCCAGGTTTGATTGCGGTTGAGGACATGTACCGTGGGTTGCAGGCATATTCCCAGTGGGGGTTATGCAGGAGGCAGCTGACTTGTGTTTCTCTCTCATCGATGCTTCTAGCTCTCCCTTCTTCTCTGTAAAAAAAAATCAATAATATATATATACATATATATATATATATATATATATATATATATATATATATATATATATATATATATAAAATTATGAGTACTATAACCCTCTTTAGTCAGGCTATATATAGTGAATTTGATTGAAGAGTAAAGAAACCTAAAGTCTCTGCAAAATTCTTCCCCAACTAAATTAATATGTGATAGTTTCTTAGATCCTATTGAGAAGAGCGTTAAGTATTTCTCATGCCTGTATTCTCACCACCTGCTTCTTTTCAATTGCTAGACCAGTATACTTAGAGTAGGATAACATCTGCATTTTCAACCTCCATGCCCCCTGACCATTACTGGATAATAGTACAAAGAAGTGCTCTTATCAAGTCTAATAAAATGCGTTGGCTGTGACCTCACCTTTTAGTAATTCCATTATGCCCTTACTTCTTGAACACTAGCATCTTAAACTTTTGCTTCAAAACCCTGGAGTTTCAAATCATACACAATTTGCTGCAAAATATAATCACTGAAAGTAAACTATAACCTTATCCATCTCGCAAAATAAACCAAGCCAGAGTGTTTTCAAGTTCTTATAATGACTCATTTCCATTTTTCACATTTTAATTGTAATTCAGATGGAATTCATGTAACTTAGGGGAAATATTCATATGACTTAAAATTAATGATTTTGAAGTGAACAATTCAGTGTCATTTAATATGATTATAATATATTTGCACATATCTACAGTAGTTTCAAGATATGTTCATCACTAAAAAATAAAACCCTATATCAATTAAGAAGTCACATCTTAATTTTCCCTATCTTAAACTCCTAATAACCACTCATCAGTCAGCTTTCTTTATTTTAACTGGTCAGGATATCCTACATAATAAAAATCTAATATGCAAATTGAGTGAACAGCTGAACAACAGGTCACTATGATGCGCACTGACAACCAGGGGGCAGGTGCTCAAGCTGCCTCAGATCACAGGCCCCAGGCCAGCCAAGGTGGGTGCCAGTGGGGGGTACCTCCCCCATCACCCTGCCAGTCACCCTACTAGGAGAGGCAATGGGGGGCGGGGCCAGTGAGTGGGCTGTGCCAGGCTGACCAAGGAAGGTGCCAGTGCCCCTCCTTCAATTGCCTTGCCAGTCACCCCACAGATTAACCCTGATCACTGGCCAGGCCTGGTAACCCTACCCATGCACAGATTTTGTGCACCAGGCCTCTAGTTTTGTATAAACAGAATCATACCATATGTGATCATTTATGTCTGCTTTCTTTAACTGAGCCTAATTTTTATAGGTTTATCCATGTAACAGTATGTATCGGTATGTTATTATTTTAGATTACTGAATAACACTTCATTGTATGTATATAAAACAAATCCTGTATCTGTTCTTCTGTAGTTGAATATATAGGACATTTTTTGACTAATTTTGAATAGCTATGTTATAAATATTTCAATACTAATATTAGCTTGAATACTTATTTCAATTCTTTGGGGAATATACTTAAAAGTAGAATTGTTCATTCATAAGCTAATTCTGTATTTCATATTTTCAAGAGCCACAAAACTATTTTTTCACAGTGTCTGCACCATTTACATTCCTATAAGCAATATACAAGATTTCAATTTCTACACATGCTAACAAACATTTATTATTCTCCTTTTTTTATTGTAACCATTCTTATGGTTATAAAGTTGTATCTTGGGGTTTAATTTACATTTCCCTGATGACTAATGATACTGAGACCTTTACATATACTTTTTTATATTCTTTAGACAAATGTCTATTTAGTCCTGTGTGCAAATTTAATTGGGTTGTCTTTTTATATATTCTGAAATCCAGAGCCTTATCAGAAGTATGGTTTATTAATATTTTATTCCATTCTATGGACTGTTTTTTTTTTTTTTCATTCTTTTGATGTGTCCTTTCATACACAAAGTGTTTTAATTTGTCTTAACTCCAATTAGTTTTTCTTTTGTTGCTTGTGAAATTGGTATCTTGTTTAAAGAGTCATTGTCAAATCTAAAGTTTAACCATATGTTTTCTTTTAACAGTTTGGTGGTTCAATATTTTACATTTAATTCCTGGATCAATTTTGAGTTAATTTTTATATAGTGTGAGGTAGGAATCCAATTTCATTCTTTTGCATGTGAATATTTTATTGTTCCAGCACCACTCTTTGAAAAAAATATATTTCCCCATTGGACCCTTTATAAAAATCAGTTGGCCTTAGATGTATGGGTTTATTTCTCAACCCACAATTTTATTCCTGCTTCTCCCTGCCAGCCTGATTGATACCTAACTGCTCTCCTGACAGTCTGATTGCCCCTAACCGCCCTCCCCTGCAGGCCTGGTCACCCATAACTGCCCTCCCCTGAAGGCCTGGTCCCCCCAACTGCTCTCCCCTGCAGGCAAGGATCCTTTCCAACTGCCCTCCTCTGCAGGCTTGATCACCCCCAACTGTCCTCCCTTGCAGATCTGGTCCCTTCCAAATGCCTTCTCCTGCTGGCCATCTTGTCACAGCCATCTTTGACCACATGGTGGCAGCCATCTTTGACCACATGAGGGCAGCCATCTTGTGTGTTGGAGTGATGGTCAATTTGCATATTGCTATTTTATTAGATAGGATATCTTAAATAGGATATCCTATCTAATAAAAAAAGAAAGTTAATGAATTAAAATATATTAAAATTATATTTATATTAATATAAATATAAAATAGAATATTGCTATTTTATTAGGTAGGATATCTTAGATAGGATATCCTATCTAATACAAAAAAAGAAAATTAATGAATTAAAATATCTTAAAATTATATTTATATTTATATAAATATAAAATAGCATATTGCTATTTTATTAGATAGGATATCTTAGATAGGATACCCTATCTAATAAAATAGCAATATGCAAATTGACCATCGCTCCAACACACAAGATGGCTGCCCTCATGTGGTCAAAGATGGCTGCCACCATGTGGTCAAAGATGGCTGTGACAAGATGGCCAGCAGGGGAAGGCATTTGGAAGGGACCAGGTCTGCAAGGGAGGACAGTTGGGGGCGATCAAGCCTGCAGAGGAGGGCAGTTGGAAAGGATCCTTGCCTGCAGGGGAGAGCAGTTGGGGGGGACCAGGCCTTCAGGGGAGGGCAGTTATGGGTGACCAGGCCTGCAGAAGAGGGCAGTTAGGGGCAATCAGACTGTCAGGAGAGCAGTTAGGTATCAATCAGGCTGGCAGGGGAGTGCTTAGAGCACATGTGTCAAACACAAGGCCCGCGGGCCAAATCCGTCCCGCCAGGCCTTGCAATGTGGCCCGCACCGCGCTGTCATCACTGCACTCCGCTGCGTTTCCATCACAATGACAGTTTATGACTGTTCAGTAAACCATTCGGCCCGCGATTTAGGCTGGATTTTAGATTTTGGCCCCTTCTCTGATTGGGTTCGACACCCCTAGCTTAGAGGATGATCAGGCTGGCAGGCAGAAGCAGTTACGAGCAATCAGGAAGGCAAGCAGGCAAGCAGTTGGGAGGAGCCAGCAGTCCTGGATTGTGAGAGGGATGTCCGACTGATGATGGGTCCAAGATTGGAGAGGTTGCAGGCTGGCAGGCTGGGCTGAGGGACACACATCCTTGTCCACGAATTTCATGTACCAGGCCTCTAATTATATATATATATATATATATATATATATATATATATATATATATACACACACACACATATATACACACACACACACACACACACACACACACACACACAATATATATTTAAGCCAGCACTATATTGTTTTGAGTACTGTAGTTTTATAATAAGTTTTGAAATATAAAAGTATGAGTCCTCCAAACTTTCTCTTCTTTTTTAAGATTGTTTTGACTATTAGAGGGCCCTTATAGTTCCATATGAACTTGAGGATCTGCTTTTTATTTCTGCAAAAGTAGCCACTGGAATTTTATAAATATTATAATGAGTCTGTTGATGACTTTAAATATTATTGCCATATGAAAAATACTATATTTTAATTCATTAACTTTCTTTTTTTTTAAGAATATTGTTATTGATTTCAGAGAAGAAGGGAAGGGAAAGGGAGATAGAAACATCAATAATGAGAGAGAATCATTGATATACTGCCTCTTGCAGGTCCCCTACTCAGGATGGAGCCCACAACCCGGGCATGGACGGTGACTGGGAATCGAGCCTGGGACACTTCAGTCCACAGGCCAACACTCTATTCACTGAGCCAAACCAGTTAGGACTTTCTATTTATATGGGTTGGGTTCTTTTTGTTTGTTTGTTTGTTTGTTTGTTTGTTTTTGTTTGTTTTTTAATTCTTTAAGCAAGGTTTTGTAGTCTTTTATTTCTTTGGTTAACTTTATTCCTGACTATATTACTCTGTCATATGCAATGAAATTGTTTATGTTCTTTTTAGATTGTTCATTAATGGTGTATAAAAACACAATTGATTTTTACATGTTAATCTTGTATCCTGTTTCTGAATTTGTTAGCTCTAGCAGTATGTGTAACAGTGATTCTTTGGGCTTTTTCTATGTGTGGAAATATACGTATCATGTCATCCTCAAATATTGATAGTTTTACTTCTTCCTTTCCTATTTGGATGCCCTTTATTTCTTTTTCTTGCCTCATTGCTCCAGCTAAAACTGTAACAATGAATACCAGAGATGAAAGGAGACATTCTCATCTTGTTCCTGATTTTAATGGAAAACTTTTCTCTCTCACCACTAGGAATGATCCTAGCTTTGGGTTTTTCACATATGCCCTTTGTCATCTTGAGAAAATCCTCTTGTATTTCTAGTTTTCTGAGTGTCTTTAATCATGAAACTTTTTGTCAAACCCATTGATGTTTCTATCTCCCATACTTATATAATTTATTCCATTTGTTCAATTAATGCAATATATTACATTGATTGGTTTTCATATGTTGAACCTGCATTTCTGGGATAATTCCCACTTGATCATGAGGTATAATCCTTTTTCTATGCTATTGGATTAAGTTTGCTAACATTTGGTTGAAGATTTTTTCATCTGTATTGATAAGGGATATTGGTCTCTAGTTTCTTTCTTCCTGATACCATTGGCTGGTTTTGGTGTCAGAGTAATGCTGAGCTCACAGAATGAGTTAGAAAATGTTTTATCCTCACACTTTTTGGAAGACTTAGAGAAGAATTGTTGTTAATTTTGTTTAAATGTTTGGTGGAACTCACCAGTGAAGTCATCTGGTGCTCACCTTTTCTTTGTAGAGAGGTTTTGATCACTGATTCATGTACTTTACATGTATACGTCTGTTCAAATTGAGTGCTTCATTCCTTAATGCATATTTTGGTAACTACATTTTGGCTTTCTTTGTAGCGCTCATACTGGTATGGCCATCCAAGAATTACAAGAAAAGAAGAAGAAATGAAAGACTTTGGAAGAACTCAAAACAAATATTTTGAGGCTGAACCAACGAGCTTGGTGGCAGGTATCCAGATCAAACATTTGCACAAGGTATTATTTTAAGGGAAAATCCCTTATTATTCCTGCCCAGTTGAAGGGAACCTTGGGCAGGCCAGATGGCGGCATCTGTAAATGAGCTAACTAATAAGCTCTATGTGTGGGCCAGGTACTTGCATCCATAGACAGGTAGTCCTGGTGCCAGACTGCATATGGTTGGGCAGGGTGCTAGGGTCCATGGGCAGCCCTGATGCCAGGGTCCATAGGAGAGACTGGTTACTCTGTCTCTCCTTTAGTTCATGTTTGCCTGTTATATTTTTCCCATTCTTTTGCTATTTACCTATTTGTGTCTATAATTGAAGGACACTTTTGTATACATATATAAACATTTGGTTAGTGCATGCTCTTTATTCAATGTGATTCTTGCTGCTTTTTAATTAAGGTGTTCAGGCCATTTACATTTTTAATTTTCAGTTACAGGTTATATTCCATACTATTTTGTATTTCAGGCCATTTACAGTTAATGTGATTGTTTATATTTTTGGTATGGTTCCCATTTAGCATTTATTTGATTTCTAATCCTACCATATACTCTTTTTTCCCCTGTTTCTTGCCTTCTCTTGAATTACTGATTATATTCCCGAGATTCCATTATATCTGCCTTTATATATAACTTTGGCTGAAACCGGTTTGGCTCAGTGGATTGAGCGTTGGCTTGGGGACTGAAAGGTCCTGGGTTCGATTCTGGTCAAGGGCATGTACCTTGGTTGATCGATAACTCTCTCTCATCAATGTTTCTAACTTGCTATCTCTCTCCCTTCCTCTCTGTACAAAATCAATAAAATATATATTTTATATATAACTTTGTTTTGGTATTTAACTGGCTTATCTTTGATACATTACACAACTCTAACATATCACATCTTCCTTCAAATGGAACCTTTTCACATATAGTGTAAGAACCTTATGTCAGTTATACTTTTATTTTTATACTCATACCCTTCATGTCATTATTGTCATACATTTTACTTAAATATATATTATAAAACCTGCAATATTTTGTTACCATTGTTCTTGATTTTCCAGTTATATTTTAAGGAAGTTAAAGACAATGTGGTTTATAATTACCAGTGTGCTTAATAATTACAGTGTTCTCCATTTCCTTGTTTATATCTAGATTTCCATCTATCGATAATATAATTTTCCTTCTGCCTCAAAGAATATCTGACTTTTTTCTTAGTTTGTTTCTTGCTTTTGTTTTTTAATCTTTTTTTCATTATTAATTAAGGTATTACATATGTGTCCTCATCCCTCAATTAATCCCCAATGCCTCCCTCACTCATGCCCTCACCCCCTTGGTGTCCGTGTCCATTGGTTAGGCTTATATGCATGCATACAAGTCGTTTGGTTGATTTCTCCCCCTTACCCCTACCCTCCCTTACCTTCCCCTACCTTCCCTCTGAGGTTTGACAGTCTAATCGATGCTTCTGTAGCTCTGAATCTATTTTTGTTCATCAGTTTATGTTGTTCATTATATTCCACAAATGAGTGAGATCATGTGGTATTTTATCTTTCTTCGACTGGCTTATTTTGCTTGGCATAATGCTCTCCAGGTCCATCCATGCTGTTGCAAATGATAATATTTCTTTCTTTTTTAACAGCACGTAGTATTGCATTGTGTAGATGTACCACTGCTTTTTAATCCACTTATCTGCTGATGGACACTTAGGCTGTTTCCAAATATTAGCTACAGTGAATTGTGCTGCTATGAACATACGGTGCATATATCCTTTCTGATTGGTGTTTCTAGCTTCTTGGGGTATATTAATATAAGTGGGATCACTGGGTTAAATGGGAGTTCCATTTTCAGTTTTGTTTTTTGGTGTTTTTGTTTTGTTTTGTTTTTGGTGTGTTTTTTTGTTTTGTTTTGGTTTGGGGTTTGTTTTTGTTTTTTTTGTTTTGTTTTGTTTTGTTTTGTTTTGTTTTTGAGGAAACTCCATACTGTTCTCCACAGTGGCTGCACTAGTCTGAATTCCCACCAGCAGTATACAAGGGTTTCTTTTTCTCCTCATCCACGCCAACACTTGTAGATTGTTGATTTGTTGATGATAGCCATACTGACACGTATGAGATGGTACGACATTGCTGTTTTGATTTGCATCTCTCAAGTAGTAACTTTGAGCATGTTGTCATATGTCTCTTTGCCTTCCTTCTGTCTTCTTTCAAAAGTATCTATTTAGGTTCATTGCCTGTTGTTTATTTGTGCTCTTTATCTTCCTTTTGTTAAGTTGTACAAGTTCCCTGTAAATGTTGGAGATTAAGCCCTTATTAGTGATAACATTGACAAATATGTTCTCCCATACAGTGGGCTTTCTTAATGTTTTGTTGGTGGTTTCCTTTGCTGTGAAAAAGCTTTTTATTTCAATATAGACCCATTTGTTTATTTTCTCTTTAGCTTCCATTGCCCTAGGAGCAATAATGGGGGAGAAATTGCTTTCAGCATATGTCTGAGATTTTGCTGCCTGTGGATTGCTCTAGTATTTTTATTGTTTCCTGTCTTATGTTTAAGTGCTTTGTCCATTTTGAGTTTATTTTTGTGTATAGAATAACTTGGTTGTTTAGTTTCATTTTTTTGCATATATCTGTCCAGTTTACCAACACCATTTATTGGAGAGACTGTCTTGACTCCATTGTATGTTCATGCCTCCTTTGTCAAATATTAATTGGGCATAGTGGTTTGGGTTGACATTTCTGAGTTCTCTATTCTATTCCATTGGTCTGTATGTCTGTTCTTGTGCCAGTACCAGGCTGTTTTGAGAACAGTGGCTTTCTAATACAGCTTAAAATCTGGTATTAATATCCTTCCTACTTTATTCTTCTTTCTCAGGATTGCTGTGGCTATTTGGGATCTTTTTTATTCCAGATGAATTTTTGGAGAGTACTTTCTAGGTCTGTGAAATATGCTGCTAGTATTTTAATGGGGAGTACATTGAATATATAGATTGATTTGGGTAGTATGGACATCTTTATGATGTTGATTCTACCAATCCATGAACACGGTATGTCTTTCCATCTTTTTTATGTCTTTCTCTATCTCTTTTTTCAGTGTCCTGCAGTTTTTCGAATATAGGTCTTTTACTTTCTTATTTAAGTTTATTCCTAGGTGGTTTTTTTGTTTGTTTTGTTTTTTTGCTGCTATGGTAAATGAGATTGCTTCTTTAGTCTCACCTCTGTAAGTTCACTATTGGTGTATAGAAATACCATAGATTTCTTGGCATTAATTTTGTATCCTGCTACATTGCTGAATTCATTTATTAAGTCTAATAATTTTTATGGAGTCTTAAGGGTTTTCTATGTACAGTATCATGTCATCTGTGAATAAGGACAGTTTTATTTCTTCTTTTGCAATTTGGATGCCTTTTATTTCTTCATCTTGTCTGATCATAAAGGCTTGTACTTCCAGTACTATGTCAAACAGGAGTGGTGAGAGTAGGCATTCCTGTCTTGTTCCTGTTCTTAGAGAATATGGTTTCAGTTTTTGCTCATTGAGTATGATGTTGGCTGTGGGTTTGTGATATATGGCTTTTATTATGTTGAGGTATGATCCTTCTATTCCCACCTTGCTGAGAGTTTTTATCAAGAAAGGGTGTTGGATTTTGTCAAATGCCTTTTCTGCATCAATTGATATGACCATGTGGTTTTTATCTCTCAATTTGTTTGAGTGATAAATCACATTTATTGATTTGTGAATATTGTACCATCGTTGTATCCCCAGGATAAATCCTACTTGTTTGTGATATATTATCTTTCTGATGAACTGCTGGATCCAATCTGCTAAAATTTTGTTGAGGATTTTGGCATCTATGTTCATGAGGGTTAATGGCCTGTAATTCTCTTCATTATGTTGTCTTTATCTGGTTTTGGTCTTAGGTGATGCTGGCTTCATAGAAGGAGCTTGGAAGTGTTTCTTCCTCTTGAATTTTTTTGGAATAGTCTGAGGTGGATATGTTTTATTTCTTCCTCAAGTGTTTTGTATAACTGCCCTGTGAAGCCATCTGGCCCCAGACTTTTGTCTGCTGGAAGCTTTTTGATGACTGTTTCAATTTATTCCTTAGTTATTAGCCTATTGAGATTTTTAGAATCTTCCTGATTTGGTTTTGGAAGGTTGTATTTTTCTAGAAATATGTCTATTTCCTCCAGATTGTCTAGTTTTTTGAAGTAGAGTTGTTCATAGTATTTTTTAACAATCCTTTGTATTTTGGTGGGGTCCCACTTTTAATCTCCAACTTTGTCTAGGCATGCATATGTCTTTTCTTCAATTTTCTTTTCTCACAAGACTCTTGGGTTTCTATCTACAACTCGGGTAAACTGATGGACTCTGCCTGAATTATTCAGCTCTGTGCTGAATAATTGAAACTATGCTGGAGCACTTTCTGTTCAATTCTCAGGAATCATTACCTTTTTTCCCTGATATCTATTATAAATATCTATTATAAAAAATATTTGTTTCACACATAATATCATCACACTATGCATTTTTCAATCCCTTTGTTTTTTTGTGTGTTTTTTTCAATCCCTTTGTTTTATTCATTATGTTGTTCATAATTCATAATTATTTTATTGATATGTACCTTTGCTCTTTTCTGTCTTCTGTTACCAAAGCTTTATTAAAGGTGGAACTAAGTATCACTTATTTTTAAATGTAATTCTAACACATAGGACAGTATGCAGTAGACATTCAGTAGTTTTTTAATTAATTGGAATTGATGAGTTATTGCCTGCAGTGGTTATTAGCAATGAAGTGTGGGGTTATATTCAGGTTTCTGGTTTGAACATTTTAGTGAATTTGGGGGTCATTCACTGACCCAAGGAGTACAGTTGAGGACATGATAATGAGCAAAAATTTAGACATACTGAATTTGAAATATTTATAAATAGTTAAACTTGTTTCTGGTAGACATTTGGAGATATAGAGCTACAGCTTTGGAAAGATTATGAATGAAAGAGATTACAGTATCATTAACATCTATAGGGTAAATATTTATAAGAGAAAATTAGTTTTTTTTAAGACAGTCATTTTATTACTAAGGATAATTATGTCCATTCATAAAATCTCTATAATAATACCTGGAGATAGTTTGGTTATCATAACCAAGGAAAAGACAGATGAGAGAAGTGTTACTGGCATCTGCAGGGTAGAGACCAGAGAAGCTCCTAAACCTCCTATAAGTTAAAGGTGAGCCCTCCAAAACAAAGAATTATTTAATACAAAGTGTCTAGAGTGCTACTATTGATAAGCCCAGAGTTTGTAGACACACTCTCCTAGTGCTGTCAATTTGCCAACACTAGCACCACTTTCTAAGGCGTCTCCTACATACATTACAAAAGAGAACCCATGAACTGCATTTCCCAAAATTGCCTTCTCTGTTTTCTTATTATTTAGGATTTGCCAATTAGAGGCACCAACAGACAAAATTTAGATTAACCTAGGTGAGCTCTTAGGAACCACAGGATTTATAAATTCAGACTAAAATATTAGGAGTCCAAGAGACACTTTAGTAGAGTTTTCAAACATGTTCTATGAAGGATTGATAAATATTTTAGAGTCTTGCTACAATTGAATAAGCCCATAAATACTATATTACACTCTTCATAGATAGAATATAAAGAGGTCTTCATTTTTATTAGCAAATATAGATAGATATACATACCCCTGTGTCTTTATACTTACTTTGACTAATATATAAACTCAGAGCACCTGCAAATATTTTTTCTTGTTCAAAATATCATTATATTTGATTATATGATGTTGATTGTTCTGAGAATAGAGGATATGAGCATTTGCCTTTCACAGTGATAGTTACAGGTATCAAGTTATTTTTCTTTTATTTCATAGGAATTTGGTGCCAAAATAGCAGTAAACAACATGTCTTTGAATGCATATAAGGGGCAGATCACTGTTCTTCTTGGAGAAAATCATGCAGGAAAATCTACCACCGTATCTATTCTCACAGGTATGTATGTATTCAACTTTGTCCAGAGCAGAAGTCAGGCTTCTTCTAAGACAATAGATCAATCAATAACTTGTAATGTTGAGTATGTCATTTCAGTCTTAGTGTTAGTATAGTTTCAATTATTTACAGTCAAGATGCTTCATTTGATGTAAAACATTTCATTCATTTATTCCAGTGTTTCCCAAACTTTTGACATATGTGTACCCCTTCTACAATTTTCGTAACGCTGAGTATCCCTCGTACTCATGAGAACATAGAATTATGCATAGCTAAGCATGATGCAGTGCATATCCCCACCAAACTCCAGTGCAACGGGTACCCCCACCGAACTCTTCCCGTACCCCTGGGGGTACGTGTACCACATTTGGGGAAACACTGATTTATTCAATGATAAATTTTCATGTAATTATTTTTTATGAATTTACAGTACAGGATAATTACAAAGTTGTTACACTCAATTTCATTCTTTGATGAAATACAGACCAAAAAAACAAAAAAACAAAAATTGAAACTAACACCATAAGTAAGATGATAGATATTATATGTAGGATACCATTCACATATAATGGTGATGAGGAATAGGGAAGTGACATCAATCTGAGACAAATACAACATATGAAGAGCTATGAAGGAAAAGAAAGAAGAATATTATAGGTATAAGCAAAAACCAGGAGGCTCAAAAGCAGAGGTCATCTATACAACTAGATCAGATAAGAAAGAAATTTAGCTGAAACAGGTTTGGCTCAGTGGATAGAGCATCGGCCTGCAGACTGAAAGGTCCCGGGTTCAATTCCGGTCAAAGGCATATACCTTGGTTGCGGGAATCTCTCTGGTGAGGGGTGTGCAGTAGGCAGCTGGTCAGTGTTTCTCTCATCGATGTTTCTAGCTCTCTATCCCTCTCCCTACCTCTTGGTAAAAAATCAATAAAAAATATATTTTTTAAAAATTTAAAGGTTTAATCTCCAACATCTAAAGACAGCTTATAAAACTTAATAAAAGGAAGATAAATGACCCAATTAAAAAATTGGCAGTGGATCTAAATAGAATCTTCTCAAAAGAAGATAGAAGGAATGCCAAGAGGCACGTGAAAACATGCTCAAAGTCACTAATTATCCAAGAGATGCAAATCAAAATGACAATGTGGTACCATCTCACACCTGTTAGAATGGCCAACATCAACAAATCAACAAATGACAAGTGTTGGCGAGGTTGTGGAGAAAAAGGAACCCTTGTGCACTGGTGGTGGGAATGTAGACTGGTGCAACCACTGTGGAGAATAGTATGGAGTTTCCTCAAAAACCTGAAAATGGAATTTCCATTTGACCTAGTAATCCTACTCCTAAGAATATATCCCAAGAAGCTAGAAGCATCAATCGGAAAGGATATATGCAACCCTATGTTCATAGCAGCACAATTTACAATAGCTAGGATTTGGAAACAGCCTAGGTGTCCATCAGAAGATGATTGGATCAAAAAAACCATGGTACATCTACACAATGGAATATTATGCTGCCATAAAAAAGAAGAAATTCTCATCATTTGCAGCAACCTGGATGGAATTGGAGAATATTATGCTGAGTGAAATAAGCCAGTCAATGAAAGAGAAATACCACATGACCTCACTCATTTATGGATAATAAAAAACATTATTAACTGATGAACCAAAAGATAGATATAGAGACAGTAAAGAAACAAGCAGACTGTCAAATTACAGCAGGGAGGGTAGGGAGATCTGAGGAAGATAAGAGATCAATCAAATGACTTGTATACATGCATATAAGTACAATCAATGGACACAAAACTCTGGGGAGGGAGGGCATATATGGGAGGAGGGGCAATGGTATATGTACAGAGATAATAATTTAATTAAAAAATTAAAAAAATTTATAGCAAAAGGTGAAGTTGGATGAATAATCAAAAGGTCCAAACATGAATGGAAGATGGTAGCTGGTGGAACAGTAGGCTGAAAGATAGTGTTTGAGTGTAAGGAGGTGTGTGGATGTGTTGGGAAGTGTCAGTATATGTGAGTGAGGGACAGCTACATTCCACATGACTATTGGGGACTGGCGGACCAGGCTCCCCAGGCCTGGCAGCCTCTGCTATTACAGCCTCTATTCTCCTGGAGCAGCCGACTCTGCCGCCAAGACTGCATCATCCTGAAGGGGAGAATGGCTGTGATCAGAAGTCCAGCCTTACCTTCAACCGAGGAAACCTCAGATACCTCCCAGGACCCCACAACCACAATTCCCAGGGACTAGCTGCCTCAGCTATGAACCCACACACACCAAGCCTCCCCAACCACAAGCGCCTAAAACGTCTGCCCTCAGGGAGGCAAAGCCCTGTGCCTCCTCACAAAGCAGATGGAAGGAATATCTGAATCGAATAACATCCACCTGGATTTGGTGAATTAAACACAGCTGGTGAGGCAATCTGTGCACAGAAAGGTCAGAGATCAATCGCCTAGAGAGAAGTGAGATCTGAGATCCAGCTGGATGGAGAAACATGTACTGCAGGACCTAGAGACTCGGTGGGAGACTGTGCTCCACTGAACGCGTGGCTCTTGCGGTCAGTGTAGCCTCGAAAGTGGAAGGGGGTTCACATGACTACTGGCAGAGGCAACTCTATATATAAGCCCACAGCCATGAAAATCTGTGCACAAAAAGCAAGCTTGAGGATCACAGTGCCAGAGGTAAAAGACGCAAGTTGACACAGTTCCCTTTTGCTTGTTAAATCCAGTACATATGATCTTCCAATTAAAACCACTCACTGAGACTGCATGGGAAAGTTGTTTTTGTGGAAACTGGGGTCAGAATAAGGAGAAATGAGCAGGAAACCAGCTCTGGGGCAGTTTGTCCCTACAACCCAGGTATGTCAGGGAAAGAAAAGTCTAAACACAGTGTAGAGGGATCATTCAGTCCCAGGTATTAATACAGAAACACTGCCAGCCAGGGGTTGTCTCAGGAATTGACTCGTGTGAATACAACTGAAGGCAGAGAGAAACAAAGTGAGAAGAGATCCCACCTGCTGTAAGACATGGTTGTGTCTTATGACACAGAGGAGCAGTGGATCGCAGGGAATTTCAACACTGTGCTGACTACCTGATAGGAAACAAACGTGCCAAACAGAACAATAGAGGAACAACCTTCACTACTTCACTTTTGTATTTTATATCTTTTACTTAAGAAACTAAATTTTGGCCGAGACCCCGGTTTGGCTCAGTGGTAGAGCGTCGGTCTGCGGACTGAAAGGTCCCGGGTTCGATTCTGGTCAAGGGCATGTACCTTGGTTGCAGGCACATCTCCAGTAGGGAGTGTGCAAGAGGTAGATGATCGATGATTCTCTCATCGATGTTTCTAACTCTCTATTCCTCTCTCTTCCTCTCTGTAAAAATTCAATAAAATATATTTTTTTTAAAAAGAAACTAAATTTTTTTCTCACTTGATTTAACTTTTTTATTACTACATATTTATTTTTAACTAGCTGTATCCGGTCATGCATTGCTGTGGCTCAGTCTGGTTAAATGGAAAAGAAATAAAAGAGAAAGCACACATTTCTAATATGTTTAATTTCGCAATGCTTGTAGGTATACAATATTTTTATTGTTCCATTGTCTGTGCAGATACAGAGATTGTCTAGTTTGCCAACTCTAGAACACAAAGCATATAATTGTCCATGTGACAAGCAACCCGTGTCTAGATCTAAACCACACAATTCTAAAGATTGGCCCTGAGCTTTGTTGATGATGATTGCAAACCCCAATCTAATTGGGAATTACAATCTCTTAAATTAAAATGGTATATCCTTTGGAATCATAGGAATGCAAAGAATGAGGACATCCTCACCTTTGAAAGGTCCTGTCAAGATTGTTGCTTCTACAACATTTCTCATTCATTTTTGTACTGCAAGCCTCGTGCCATTGCAAAGCATTGACTGGTTGATATTTCACAACATGATAATTGGCACACTGATTTTCAATTGCAGTATGTGCCATGGTATCCCTGGCAGATCAAGTGAATTCAAAAATTCTGTTGGATAATTAACCGCTTCATCTGCTTCCACAACAGTGTCGACGGACTTGCATGTGACTGCCTCGCTTTGAATGTGAGACTGAAGAATATTGTGAAGTTCTTATAGGTCTTTGTTCTTGGCCACAAGAATAGCTTGTTCACTGAGCCAATTGTGATTCTTATAATTAGTTTGAATATTGGGAAATACTTTTTCAACCAATTCTTCTTTTGACATTACTAAATTGTAGAAGTTATGAGGCAATAACATTTGTCCTGAGGTCAGATCAACAGGCACCTTTTTGTTCCCAATTTCCAGCAATTGATGTGAGAATATCTTAGCTGATAGATCATTTGGCAGCTGGACAAGCATATTTGTAATTAATTTTAATGTCTTTACATGTCACCACCAAGTAGAGTATTTCAGGCAAACATTTATTTTGTCCTCTGGTGTCGATCGAGGAATTACAGGTAATATTTGCCTGAAATCTCCTGCAAGCAATATTAAGTGTTCCCAAATGGTCTGATGTTTCCACGCAAATCTTGCAATGATCCATCAAGAGCTTGAGTGATTTTTTGTGTGCCATTGTGCATTCATCCCAAACAGTAAGTCTGCAATTCTTTTGCCATGCCGGATGCTTTGGAAATCTTGCATGTGGGCATTTCAATGACTTGCATGTTTCATGGCAATTTCAAAGCGGAATGAGCAGTTATTTCACCTGGTAGCAATGTCGCAGCTAATCCGGACGAGGAAAGAGCTCCAGCCCCATTATTGACAATTTGTATTATTTAATTGTAAATGCCTTTTTGCTCAAGTGCTAGCTTAGGAATATCTGATTGCACATAGGATAAAAGACCACCCGTGTCATAATTTTGTTCACAATGCAATTTTACATCGAACAAAGCAGCAGCAGACTGATTTGGTGATGGCACTCTCAATTTATTAAGAACTTTGTTTGCGACTTCTAAGCACAAATCTTCATTCATCATCAATAT